TGTCTTTGCTCTTCTTCGAGGTTTCCTGCAGTCCATTGAGACCCAGGGGCCTGGCCACGCTGCTCGGTGCTGAGCTCCAGCCTGCGCAGCTGCCACGGAGATGAGCCTTATCTGCTGTGCGTGACAGTACGTGTACTGGGCTTGCGGTTCTGCGAATGCAGAGGAATGAACACAGGAATGGAAGGAGGAGGTTCGGAGAGCTCTGGAAATAGGAGGAGAGCAGCTCCTGGACTGCCGGGAGGGGTCCTGATAGCGTGGTCACCTGCTCCCCACCCCATCCAGAGCTAGCTACAGGCAAAGCAAGAAACTGCTCAGTTTTGCCGGGTTAGTGGTGCGTTCCTATAGTCTCAGCACTTGGGAGGCTGAGGCAGGAGGAGCACCGCAAGGAGGCCAGCCTGGCTACAAAGTGAGTTCTAGGACAGCCTGAACTGCATCGCAGAACTTTCTCAGAAAGGAGAGAGAAATTGCTCAGCTGTTTAGTGGTCTCCTATCACATGTGGCTCCGTGGATTTATAGCGACCAACCTCCCATTAGTAAGGGGTGGGCTGCGTCCCATGCTGCCTAGGAAATTCAGTGCAGGTGAATTCGTCAACAATGCAGAGCTTAGGAAGGAGCGGCTGCAGCTCCCGGTTAGTAGGGAGCAGGCTGCGTCGCACCTTCCCTGAGGAGAGTCACCATTTGTCCACAGTCCCAGGTCACTGTCCACTCTGAATCCTGTCAGTGAGGCTGGCCCCTACCTCAGGCTCTTCTGTTACTGCGTTGCGTAGCACCCGAGACTCCTTCCGGGGGGCGTTTCTGGATTCTTCTGTCCTGAGCAAAGAATTGGTCCAGACAAGTACAAATGGCAACAAAGTTTTATTAAAGGTAGGGAAAGTGACAGGTTCTGCAGGGCCAGTTGGGGCCAAGTGAAGGTGGGGAACGAAGCGCAGCCTGCGGGCGTGCGGAGAGGACAGTGGCAGACACTCAGTGTGGACGTCCTTGGGCATCGCCCGCACCTCAGGCTGAGGTCGGTCCTGGCTCCTACTGGAAACTGCTCAGGTTCTCTTGAGAAGGGCCAGGGATTTAGCACAGTGCTGCCACCGCCTGCTTTACAAACACAAGGTCCCGAATCTGATCCCGGATAAAATTTTCTCCGAAGTCCGGCGCCGGCGGGAGCCGCTCTGCACGCGCATTCGTCCTGGGCTTTGCCACCCACAGCTCCCCTCTGAGTCGGCCACACCCTGCTCTCCCCTCTCCGTCTCCGGCTCTGGTAGCTACTGCCTTACTCGCAAGCTGACTAAACCCGTTATTCTCTAGTACCACTGACCTCCATCCTCACCTCCTTTTCTAAGTTTTATTTAGAGACAGGGACCAAGTTCCCCTCCTAGTCTTGTGATCCTCTGGGTTTCGGATGTGCGCCACCACACCAATTTACATTGAGCTTTAATGCACAGACCACTGCCAGGGATTTTATTAAAATGCCGTTGGATCTAACATTCTACATTTCTAATGAAATCACAGCCAACGCTTTGGGTGCACAGGCCGGACTTACAGCACCACACACTGAAAATTGTCTTTTTTTTTTTTGAGACAAGGTCTCACTCTTTAGTTCAGGTTGGCTTTGAATGTGATGCGGGGGAAGAGATTAACTCCCAAACCTGCTAGGTATCTGAAACATGAGTTTGTGTTCTCTAAAATTGAAGAATGAATTCTAGGAACCACGGAGGTCAAGAGTATGGAAAATTTATTGAAAGACATGTTCTGCCTAAGAGAGACAGAAAGGGGACCAGAAAGTGGGCTGCCCACCCACCCCACTTCTCAAAGGTGTTTTATGGGACAAAGCCACAGGTTGAGGCTATTCAAGGTGGGACAAAACTATAGTCAACTAGTAAGACTGCACATAGAGTTGCTTAGGTAATACTGATCCAGGAAATCACAAGGTGGGCAAAACTATGATCAACCAATAAGATTACGAAAAGTATAGTCGCTTAGGTAAAATTGATTAAATGGGTATCCAATGGGGAAGTAAGTCACATAGCAAGTGGACAAGGATTTTCCATCAGGGATCTTTCCTGAAAGGGTGGGTTGGGTGAGATCTCGGTGTGGTAGTTTGTCTTCTTTTACAATGCAGGGTTTCAGGCCCTCTGTATTGACTTCTCTCAGGCCAGCCCCGTCTAACTGCCGACAAGATATCTAAGTAACTTATCTATCTGCAATAAACTCACTATGTAGCCCAAGCCCAAGCCAGCCTCCTACTTGTAGTGATCCTCCTGCCTCAGCCTCCTGAGGTCAGCAGGGATTACAGGTGTGTACAACCACACCTGGCAGAGAAATTATCTTGGGCCACATAGAAAATAGGGCCAGGGATGCAGCTCAGTGGTGCTGTGCCTGCCTGGCAAGTGCAAGGTCCTGAGTTCAAGGCCCAGGATGAAAAAAAAAATATATATGTGTGTGTGTGTATGTATGTTTCATGTACATAAGTAACAAAAACTTCCTTTTATATTTTTTATTGTAACAAAGAAAACACAAGCCCAAGTTTAGTAACAGAAACCTCACATGTCCTAGTAATCATGAACACTGTCCCTCGCGTGATTCAGGTGTAGGCCAGTGGAAGCAACACCAGTTAGCGCTGCATTTTACTCGCCACCAGACTGGTGCACTGTGCAACAGTCCTCTCTGTTGCTGTGCAACTGAGTCACGAAAAGTGTCAGCAGAGGCACAGGAGCTGCCGCCCTGCCCAGGGTGGATGCCCCCCCTTCTCCTCCCTCTCCCTGGGTGCTTGGTAACCAGGCCCTTTTTTTGTACTTGGGGCCTACTGACTGTCTTTATCTGAAGATAAGGAGATCAGTGAAAGCAGCTGTCCTTCGTCTGCACCTTCCCTCCTGCGCATTCAAAGTCTGCCTTTACTTTGAGGAAGGTGATTGTAGCCCAGGGCTTGTTTTGATCTCTGCTCCAATTCCCTCAGCTCTGGTGATTGGTGAACATTTCAGAAGCCACTGGCTGCTGGGCTTTGTTGTAGCTGTCTTGAGAACCATAGAATAATAGACTTTGGCCGGTGTGGTGGCACAGGGCTGTAATCCCAGCACTCGGGAGGCTGAGGCAGGAGGATCGCTGTGAGCTCGAGACCAGCTTGGGCTATATAGTGAGTTCCAGGTCAGTCTCAACTACATAGTGAGACCTTGTCTAAAAAAAAAACCCCCCAAAAAATAGACTTTGGTTTTTTGTTTTGATTGATTGATGACTGGTAAGGGGTTATAGCACATGATCACACCCATCATGGAGAGTTGGTACACATTCATGCACATTTTTTCAACTCTTGAAAGCTTTTTAGTGTAGGGGCAGGAGGCCCCGAAGGTAGGGGAAAGACAGGGTGAAGGCCTCACTGAGCTTTACTAAAAATAAATAAACTGCTCAGGCCTCCGCAGCCAGAGAGCAGTTAGAACGGCAGAGGCAAAGAAACCAGGTCTGGGAAGGTCTCATGTAAGAATCGCGCACTTCCCCTTGCTCAGCCTGAACCCTAGATTACCTGCACACACACGCACACGCGTGCACACTCAGGCCTGCAGAATCCACACGAAGGTGGAGGAGCGGGACAAGGAGCCCCGCTAGGAGGCTGCTCCTCTCTCCTCCCTCTCCCTGCCCTCTCAAAGCCCTGGGGTAATCTCTCCTACTTCCTGTTATCTTTTACTTTGCTCTTTAATTTTACTCCAGGTGTCTCACAAGATAAACAATGTGACGTCTAAGCTGTCCCTCTGGTTTATTTACTTAACGCATCATAATTCTTTCTTCATCCCTTCATCTCCTTGCCTTTCCCCTCCATCTCTTGGTCCCCTTCCTTTTTGCAAAAGACCCATTTCCCTATTTCCTTTTATCTACCTTTTATTTAGGTTTCTCATAGAAGAGAGTTCATGCAATATTTAAGCTTGTGTGTCTGATTTATTTCACGTTAATGTGGGCTCAAGGTCATCCATTTTCCTACAGATCACTCGAGTTTATCCTGTATGGCAGAGCAGTGCCCCGTTGTGTAAACACCACGTTTTCTTTATCGAATCACGTTGATGGACGCGTGGGCTGCTTTCGAGATTTAGCTTTATCATGAACTGTATTGTGATAAACACGGGTGTGCATATATCACTGTAATATAAGCTCTTTAATTCTTTCGAGAAGATACATAGGAGGGAAAACCTGAGTCAAATGAAATCTCTAGTTTTAGTTTTTCAAGAAATCTCCATAATAATTGTATTAGTTTACATTCTCATCAACACTGTGGAAATGTCCCCACCGGCCCACAGCCTTCTCAGTGCGTTATTTGATTTCTTTTTCTTTTTTTCTTCTTTTGGTACCAGAGATCGAACTCAGGACCTTGTGCTTGCAGAGGCAGGCGCAGTGCCACTGACCTAAATCCCTGGCGCAGTATTTGATTTCTTAATAGACTTTCCTCTTGACTGTGGCCACGTTCTCCCACTGTTGTTGTAATCTGTGTTTCTCTAATTGGTCCACGATGCTGAACATTTTTTCAGTTATTTATGGGACATTTGTACTGCTCCTGAGAAGTGCCTTCATTTCAGTTGCCCATCTTTTGATTGGACCCTTTGTTCTTGGGAGTCTAATTTGTCTTAGTTCTCCCTATATTCTAGACATTAGCCCTCTCTCCAAGGTGTAGCTCGGAACTCCGGACATTGCACTTGCCAGGCAGGCAGCAGAACCACTGAGCTGCAGCCCCCAACCTCCCCGCCCCGTTTTGTTCTTTTTTTGAGTCAGGTTCTCACCAGTAGGTCAGGCTGTCCTCTGACTCCCAGTAATCTCCTGCCTCAGCCTCCTTGCAAGTGCTGGCATCGCCACAGCTGGCTCCTGAGCAGGCATTTGAGAGGATGGGCAGCCTTGCTGGCCTCAGCCTGCGGGGAGAGGGGCTCGTGGACCCTGCCCTCCTTCAGCCTTTCCCTGGGCGGTGCTGGCTCTGCTGCACAGGTTTCTTTTCCTGCCTTTATAAATGTGCTTGCTTTTTCCAATTCTTTGCTTAGAACAAGAATTTAGAAAGTCTCTGGGAGGAATCCAGAGTCCTGGGCCAGTGGTGACACTCGCTTATACCTATGTCTTCAAGAATTTTGCCTATGTAATCTCACAGCAGAGTAAGTGTTTGACCGTTTTAAAATCAGACCTTTGATGGTGAGAGATGTGGGGTAGACCCAGTCTTCTGCCTGTGAAATCCAGCCCTCCCGCACCTTTTGCTAAAGAGGCTCTTTGCTCCGGGTACAGTCGGCCCCTTTCGACAACAGGTAGCTCACTATGTGCCTGCGGTTGTATCTGCAGCCTGACTTCTGTCCCCTGAAATGTTTTGCCCAGTATCATGCTGCTTTTCCTCTGTAGCTTTATAACACCGCTCAGAATCCAGATTGTGGTACCTCCTCGCCGCCCAGGGTTGCAGTGATGGACTTTGACAGTAGGCAGGGACCACTGAGGAGCCGTAATGGAGCTCGTGAGCCTTGCCCAAGACCTCCGGAGGAAGCCAGGCCCGCCAACAAGGAGCCCGCACCTTCGGCTGCTCCACGGCCACTCAGAGCCTCTCTGCCCTGCCCTGCCTGCCCAGGTGTTTCTGTCTGGTAGGGTGGAGGCAGAGCCTTCTTCCCCTTCCTCATCCAGAAAGACCCCATGTAGCACTTGACATGCTGCACACACTAGCACAGCTCTTCTTTTTTTCTTTTTTGATGGTACCGGGGATTGAACTCAGGGCCTCCAATTAGAGCTGCATCACCAGTCGTTTTTTCATTTTTAATTTTGAGACAGTTTTGCTAAGTTGTCCAGGCTGGGTTCAGCCTCTCAACCCTCCTTCCTCAGCCTCCCGGAGCCGTGGAGTTACCTGGTATGAGCCCCTGTGCTTGACACCTATACTAGATCTCAGGGCTGGGGAGGAGACGGGGGACAGAGGTCCGCGTAGCATTTGCAAGGTCCTGGGCTCAAGCCCCACACAAAACAAACGGCCAAAAATTGCTTTACATTTTATTTGAACAATGAATTTTATACCCCCCAAATTAATTGGATGTAGGGGCATGCACCTGTAATGCCAGCATTCAGGAGAATGAGGCAGGAGGATCTCTTGAGTCTCAGACCACCCTGGGATACAGAACAAGACCCTGTCTGAAAATCCAAAAATTAAACCATTTTATTTCACCATGCCACCTGCAAATTATCATTTATTATTATTATTATTATTATTATTATTATTATTATTATTATTATGACAATACTGGGGATTAAAACTAAAGCACTGGCACTGAACTATACCCTCAACCCTTTTTTATTTATTTATTTTTAATCTTTTTTCGGTACCAGGGATTGAACTCAGGACCTTGTGTTTGCGAGGCAGGCGTGGTGCCACTGAGCTAAATACCCTGCTCTTTTTGTGTTTTTTAATTGCTACATTTTAGATATTCATGATGATAACATGCATTATAGAAAAGCTGTATCATACATGATATGTCCTGCCTCTTCCCCCTTCCCTCCCCCAACCGCTACCCCCTTATTTACACCAGTTTTTTGTTTGGTTGTTTTTTGTTTTTTGAGAGGGTCTCACTATGTAGTTGAGACTGACCTGGAACTCATTATGTAGTCCAAACTGGTCTCGAACTCACAGTGATCCTCCTGCCTCAGCCTTGGGAGTACTGGGATTACGGGCGTGCACCACCACGCCTGGCTACAAGAGCTTTGTTTCCATCTTTTCCTTCTATTCTTTTTTTTCCACTTGTGTCTTCCTTCTCTTCCCCAGCCCTCCTCCCTTGTTCCCCAAGCTATTTATTATTTTTTGAGACAGGGTCTTGTTAAGTCATTAAATTGCTCAGACTGGCCTCAAACTAGCAATCCTCCCCAAGAGTCCTGGGATTACAGGTACACACCACCTCACTTTGACGATATGGTGCTTTTTTATTTGGAGACAAGGTCTCACTGTGTAGTTCAGACTGGCCTTGAACTCACTATGTGGTTTAGGATGGCTTTGAGCTCATGGTGATCCTCCTGCCTCAGCCTCCCAAGTGCTGGGATTGCAGGTGTGTGCCACCATGCCTGGCTCTGCATTGTTTTCTGTGATGGAGACACACATTTGTTAACTGCTTTTTGTGTTACTTACATACTTTTACTATTGAGCATTGGTGTTCTGGACCCACAACTCTGCAAATTCCTCAAGATCAGGGACTTTTAAAAGGTTTTGTGGCTGGGCATGGTGACCCATGCCTGTAATCCCAGCACTCAGGAGGCTGAGGCAGGAGAATCGCTGTGAGTTAGAGACCAGCCTGGGCTACATCGTGACTTCCAGGTCAGTCTCAACTACACAGTGAGACCCTGTCTCAAAAAACCAAAAAAAAATGGTTTTGTGATTTTTCCAGGGCCTCGGACATGGTAACTGCTCTTTTTTTTTTTTTAATAAATGACTGTGAAGAATCAGTGGGTGACACTGCCTGGGAGTGAAGGTGCCCTCGGGACATAGGATTCTCGGTGCTTGAAAGATAACTGCCTCGACATGGCTGTCGCCATTGTGGTTAGCGACTGCCATTTTATACCTTAAATTTCCATTTCCTACATCAGGTGTCATCGTCCATAAGCGAAACTGACGCTCGAGCAAGGCTTGTCCATATAAGCAGTGGATCACAAATAATGACCCGAGTGGCTGCCCGCAAGCTGATGCAATTCCCGGCCCCTTACACCAGCCTCCGCTGCATAACCAAGACCCTTCCAGCCAGCTCCCTCTCCTTCTTCCTTCGCCTGTAGGCCACCGTTCCGCAGCGGCTCTACAATAAATCTCTCCTATGAGCTCTGTCGGTGTGCGGAGCGATCTTTGGCAGGTGCCGGTTTCTTTCAGTGCTAAAACCGGCAAAGTCCGAAGCAAGTTAGAACTGGTTAGAACTGGTCACTTGAGGAATCAATGAGGGAGTGCCTTTTCCTAAAGAGGAAAGAGTTGAAACACAATGGTGAGTTTGGGTTCTTCGGCCAGTCCACCACTGCTTCCTTATCTCGCACGTCTACAAATTCGAAAGTCCTGCCAAAGACAGCTCTGTTGGACAAGGGTGGCTCAGGGGTGTCCCACGTGCATGGGAGGCTCTGGGTTTAACCCCAGCGCCTTGCGAAAACACGCATTTTTTAAACCTTTGAAGTTGTGTTTGTTTGTTTTTTCTTCCTTAAGTGACATCGTGAGCCCAGTAGGTACAAGGCGAACTCGGCGCTCCTCGAAGTGTCAGAGGTGGCACACGTGGGACTTCAGCTGTGGTCTTCCACTTCCTTTCCTCTCTTCCTTCAGAGGCCTCCAGAGCACCTCAGAAAAGCCCAGCACCGCTGTGAAAGCCACTGCCCTAGTAAATCACAGCACTGCGATGACCCGGGAAGTCCCAGACATCTGAGTTTGGCTTCTGTTGTAGTCAGGGCTTTGGCACGGGAACATGTTTAGTACAGGACACGAAGTTTACAGGATCATTTTAGGATATTTATCCTCAAAGTCAAATACAGAGGAACGCAAGAGATGGTCACACACTAGAGGCCTGAAGAATCCAGCGGAAGGCCTGGATCCCAGCCCTGCCCCACACCAGTCCAGCTGAAGACCCGAGTCCAGGGCAGGGCCCTCGGGTGGGTCTTCCATGCCCAGACCAGGCTGATCCAGGTCAGCTGGGCGCTCCAAGTAGGCCGTTAGTGACTCTGTCCTATGCCTGACAAGGCCAAGGCAGGAGGCCCAGAAGGCCGGTGGACAGCGCCCGGCAACAAAGGCAGGAAGCAGCAGTAGGAAGGGCTGGGCCAGACCCTGCAGGCCTGGAGCAGCAGGGGACTCGTGAAGACAAGCTAGCAGCAGCAGCAGGCAGAGAGGCCAGGAGACGGAAGCAAAGGGGCCATTGGTTTGTCCTGTCCACTACAAGTCAGAAACGGAATTCATAAGCATTTTATCACTCCTGACCATTCCGGGAGAAAGCACTCTTGTGTGGCTTAAAAATCCACAATTTTTGCCCAGTAACCCACTTCTAATAGTTTCCAGCAAATGTTCAAAGACATATACAAGATATTCATTGCAGTTTGTTTTGTTTTTTGTTTTTTTGAGACAAGGTCTTACTCTGCACTCAGGCTGGCCTTGAACTCTCGATGATCCTCCTGCCTCAGCCTCCTGAGTGCTGGGATCAGAGGCCTGCGCCACCATAATTGGCTTCACTTCGGTTTTATAACTAAAGATCATCAAAAGAAAGTGATACTTGAGCTCGTTTGCAGGGTGAGCATGGAGGATGTGCAGGAAGAAGGGAAAGCGTCTTGGCAGAGGGGACCCTGGGTGCCCAGTTACAGAGCGCGTGGTGTATGTGAACAATCACATCACTGGCGCAAGGGGAGGCCATGAGGGGGCATGGACGAGAAGAGAGGGAGAAGTCAGCGGCAGAACAGAGTTCCAGGGTCATTTTGTTTTGCTTGTGGAACAGGAGATTAAACATATTATATGTATTAGGCAAGCCCTCTACCACTAAGCTATAGCTTCAGCTCTATAACATGGATTCAAAAAAATCACAATAGTTTTACCTTTTTGAGTAAAAACCCATTTGTACAAAAACAGATAAGAAATATGGCAGGAGGATCACCGAGAGTTTGAGGCCAGCCTGGGCTCCATAGTGAGTTCAAGTCCAGGCTGAACCCCATAGCAAGGCCCTGTGTCCAAAAACAAAAGAACTCTAAGTCGGTGAACTATCCTTGAGTGTAAATGTTATCTGAAATGATAAGGTAGAGTAGATGAAAGAGTTTGCTGCTTTGATGTCGGATGACACCGGCTCTGTACAGAAGCGAGGCGAAGTCACCACAGCTCCGGACGCGGGGATCCGTTCTGGGTCGGTGCTGGGCTGAGACAGCGCTTGTTGCCGTGGATGCACTCCCATCTCACTGACCTAACGAGAGACTGCAGCACACCTGGCCTCGCACACGCTCAGAGCTGGTGTGGCCGCCACTTGGGGCTCTCGGACGCTTCCAGGGCCGCCAGTTCTGACCGCTGGCTGCTGTGTCTGCACTAAATCCGAGGAGTCTCTTGTCCCTCCCTCCAGGACAGGGCTCTGTACCCCCATCCGCCATGTGGAAGGTCAGAAAAGAGGCTTCGTCTCCTTCCTCCTAAATTCTCCAGCTGGCCCTGGACAAGAAACAGACAAAAGACAGATTAACAAGAGAAAAACACAGTGTTTATTTACATCTTCTGGGCTGCACGCAAGCGCAAGGTCCTGAGTTCCATCCCTGGCACAAAAACAAGACCCAGCCATTTGTTCATTTTTGATCATGAGTCAGGGCGGTGTTAACTCACTAAGGTGCCCGGGCTGCTCTCAAACTCAAACTCAAACAGGATCCTCCTGCTCCAGCCTCCCAGGGTGCTCGGGTTCCTGGCCTCTGTCAGCCCCACACAGCGTGATTTATTCTGTGGACGAGTGTGGGTCAGCAGCAGTACTCGCTCACGGCTAGATTACTGGACTCGCTGGAAACAATCACATCTTCAAATGTCCTCTGTGTGCCTGAAACAGTTGAAAATATCATTGGCTCCAGAGGAATCTTCCAGGTGGAAGAACCGGTCTCAGCCGGCACGGCTGCAGCAGTCCAGGCACACAGCAGCACACGTGGGAGGCCATCTGATACCTGCTTCTTCCTTTCAGTCCGCTGAAGCCAGGCGCCATGCCCCGGGTGTGCTGTCTTCTCACTCGTTAACCTTTTACATTGATCTGAGCAGTGCCAAACCTCAGAGGGTGAGAGCAAGGAATAAATACTACAAGGGAGACACTTAGCAGGGCTTCGTCCCGATAAATCTCCCAGAAGTGTGATTTGCAGCTACCTGAGAGTCTTTAACACCTGCAGACTTCGTTTTTGCCGTGTGTGACCTGAGGTAGTGCAGGTGGGTGGTGCAGCCCTGGCCTCCCTGAGAGGATGCAGGGGCAGGCGAAATACCCAACCTCCTTCCACCCCAATTGTGCAAACTGCATCCTGTCCCTTACATTTCTGTTTCAATAAAGTTAGATTGGCTGGGCACAGCGGCATTCTTACAGTTCCAACTACTCGGAGGGCTAAGGCAGGAGGACCACACTTGAGGCTCGCCTGGGCAATTCCTCACACCTGAGGTCAGCCTGGCCTGCATACTGCAAGATCCTGTCTTTTTTTTTTAAGTTCAAAATTAATATTTATTTAAAAATAAACACAGGGCAAGATCCTGTCTTAAAACGCTAAGCAATTAACCCCCCAATAACAAAAATAGCCTGGTGTCATGGCTCACACTGTGAGGCTGAGGCAGGAGGCTCATAGTTGGATTCAGAAAGATCTTATCTCAAAATAAAATTTAAAAATAAATAAGGGGCCAGAGACATAACTCAGTGCAAGGCCCTGGGTCAACCCTTCCAACAAGATCATCTTTAAAGTTCTTCCTCCTCAAGATTCTGTGATGTTGTCGCAAAGATCACACTGTGTCTCTGTTGTTATGGTTTCAAAACAAAGACAAGCGCTCTGAAGTCTGCAGGGTGAGATCAGCTCATGGCTGCAGGCTGGGAGCCAGGACCAAAGTGGAGGTCCCCAGCTGAGGAACCCAGGGTCCTTGAGGTCAAGAGGAAGGAGTCTTCAGACGATTCATTTCAGGGTTGGCTGTGGACACTCCTGAGCTCTGTTTATGGAGAAACGTTCTATAATTTTGCTTCTCAGTTTATAGTTTAATCATGTGAGGAGTTGGCATTTTTGGATCGTGTTGGTGACTAAGTCAGTCTATGACTGTTAGTTACATTTATTGCCCAATACTTTTCTGGGTGACTGAACTTTCATGATTGCTCAGTTACCATTTATTGAGAAAGAGGACCTTGAAGAGTTTCCTACCATCCCATCTACTTAGACTTGGAATTTATTTTGGTTTTAGAGTCAGGGTCTTGGGACACTGCCCAGACTGGCCTCGAACTCCCAACCCCTGGCTCTGGCCCCCAGGCAGCTGGGATTACGCATGTGCCCCCTGAACCAGCTCTGCCAGGGGCTACACACACGGCCCCTATTCCCGGCCTCCTGGTGCTCCCAGCTCCCCAGAGGTGGACAGCAGCGCGGGTGGCAGGGAGTCAGTCAAGTGGGCTCCTGGGGGCACAGTTAAGTGATCTCGGCCTGTCTGAGGTGCTGCATTCTTAACAGTCTGCACACGTGTGACTGTAAACATCGTGTGGAACTTCACGGTCTTAGTCTGGCCTGTCATAGGCCCCACCTATAACATGTTACATTTACTAAAGCCTAAATTCCACATTAATCATCCTTATGTTTTCATTCCGCATGGTGAGAAATATTACATAGAGTGAAAAGGAAGCATTTACCTCATCGTGACCCCTGTCTCTTGGCTTTCCTGGCCAGAGATGACCACTAAACCCAGTTCATCACATATCCTTTCAAAGGTAGTCAGTACGTGTTTATGATATGAGAAAGCAAAATTTCCAGAGTGGCACAGGCCTGTGATCTCAGCACTTAGGAGGCTGAAGCAGGCGGATCACTGTGAATGCAAGGCCAGCCTGTACTACGTAGTGAAACCTCAGAGCCTATCTTAAATAACAAAATTCAAAAGAAAAAGAAAAGAAAAAATTTTAAAAGATGATGACAGTGAAGAAGGCTAAGACTTGAGACCAGCCTGGGCTGCCCAGTGAGTTCAAGAGCAGCCTGGACTACAGATCAAGAGCCTGACTCAGAAGGAAAAGGAGAAGGGGGGGCAATACAGCTTCCATACACATTACTGCTTTGATCCTATAAGGTAGGCAGAGAGGTTTCCTCCTGTCAGGGAGGCAAAAATAAAGGCTTGCAAAGTTAGTTATTGTAACTCTGCTGATAACTAGTAAGTAGATTGAGCCGCCAGATAAGTCTTTGTTGTGCACCTCTTGCAACCAGTCATCGAGTTAAGGAGCAGAGCCAGGACTGAAGTCCAAAGAGATTACACCTCTGTGTCGTTTCTGTCCTTAGAGTGCTTCAGTTTAAAGAGCTGATGGTAGCTGGGCATAGTGGCGCACGCCTATAATCCCAGCACTCGGGAGGCTGAGGCAGGAGGATCACTGTGAGTTCGAGACCAGCCTGGGCTACGTAGTGAGTTCCAGGTCAGTCTCAACTACACAGTGAGACCCTATCTCAAAAA